GGGGGGGGGCCAGGGGGGGGGGGGCCAGCCTGGGCCCCAGCGGCGGCGGCTTGCCCAGCTCCCCCCGCCAGAGAGGTTTCCTGTTGCAATCAAAGCCCCGTTTGTGTCGGCCTGGAGCTGGAGCCGGAGCCCGGAGGAGAGCCCAGGGAGGGGAGGGGAAAGGAGGCAGCAGACTGGGGTTTTTTCCTGAAGGATGCCTGACTGCCGCCTGCTCACCACCCTCACTCGCCTGCTTGCTCTCCTCCTCCTAGCGACTGGCTTTCTCTGTGTCTGCACCGGCCGGCCTGACGTAGCCGTCCCTCATCTTATGTAGGTCTGTGAGTCTCTCTTTTTTGGCTTCTTTTAAGTAGGACCCATTCACCCTGTGCCAGCTGCCCTCAGTTTCTCCTTGTGACTCGATGTGGTGAAGTCTGGGCTCTTGGTCTCAGGGACACTGGTCCCGTGGCCAGGGCAGTATCACTGGGGTCAGTGGACAAACTGGGCCAGGTCCTCAAGACTACAGCTACTCCTTCAAGAGTGGAAGGAGGTTAAGGCTTCCCTTCCTTCCCAACACACTGTTCCCTGTAGCCTTGAAGTGTGTATGTGCGCGTGCGTGTGTGTGCACACACACACACAGCCCTGTGCTTTCCATGAGCACAGGCCTGTGCTTGCCTCAGCAGCACATGCTCCCCTCACTTCTCCCCTCCTCCAACACAAGGTCCTTCTGAAATGCCTGCCTCACTCTTTCAGGCCCCCAGAGAGCCCCAAAAGCTGGAGCCAGACTTCCCTTCTCAACGAAGATGTCCCCAAAGTGCCAGGGACCCAACAGTAAGATCTAAGAGCCAGCCCCAGGGAAGAGTTCCAGACCCTTGCACTCTTGGGGAGAAGGTAAGAGGATGTCCTCTCCTTTCCCCAAAGTCCCCTCAGCCCTTATTGTAGCAGTTAGACCCGTTAGTCTCTCTTACTCTAACTGAGAGAAGACTGTCCACAGAAGTGATGAGAGAGATGGGCCTCCAGGTGAGTATGGCTTTAGCATCCATGTAGGCCTCTAACCCCTCTTTAGATGGTCCCAGCGGAAAAGGGACAACGGGTCAGAGAAACAAGAGTTTCCCTCCAGCTACTCTTCTGCTCAGGGAGGTTTCCCAGACACCAGGATCTCAGGATCTCCTCCTCTCCCCTTGGCCTCCCTCTCAACCACCACTAGGTACTGCAGCCCCACCCCCCATGCAAGCTGTCGGGACCCAAGCCTTCCCCTCCTCCCTAGCCTGCCTGCCACCTCCCTGCCCAGGCCTGTCCCCCGCTGCTAGCCGCACCCTCCCCAGCTACCTGCCCTGGTTCTGGCTCCTCCCTCAAATTTCTCCTTTCAGTCCCTCTTCTTTAGGGCAGCCTTTGGGGACTGAGCCCAGCCTGACTCCTTCCCCTACCTTGACTTCACTTTGAATCCTGACCTTGATCTCAATGTGTCCGGGGCACAGGGGCACCAAAAAAAACCTCACTAGAGAGGCTACTGGTTCCCATCATTCCCCCACTACCATTCTCCTCTCAGACTTTACTCTGGCATCTTCAGTTGCCTCCCTCAGAACCTGGGAAATCAAGTCCCAAGAAGGACTACAGTTCTCTGCAGGAAGTATATGCATATGGGGAGGGTGATTCCTTCCCACTTCCTCAGGCCCCTAGGACAGATACATGGGGTGAAAATGAGGTAGAGAGAAGTTTCCAAAAAAGGGGGCTTTGTGCTCTCTTGTCCGCCTGCATGCCACTCAAATAACCCCTGCTGGACTATGGATGTGCCACTGGCAGGCCTCAGCAAACACCAGACACACCATCAGCAGCCCTATTAAACACTCCCCACTCTCCACACAGACTCTTCCTTGCCTACACTGGACTTCTGTATATGAGCAGAGTCTCGGCAAGATCAGAGCAACACTCTGCACATGACTGCATGGGGTCTGGACACACACACGCATACCCTTCTCCAGATGAGCACCCTCTTTCCAGCAAAGCTGCCAGCCTGGGCCAGTCACCCCTTTCAAAGACACGTAGCCCTCTGAGTGCCCCCTCCACAAGGCAGGGCTCCTTCTCTCTCACCTCTGTCTGTGAGTTTGTGGTACTATAAGGATATGTCATTATCTTTCTGTCTTCACCTTCCCATCTCTGTCTCTGAGTCTCTGGAAATGCTTCTCTCTCATTCTCCCTCAATCTCTCTGTCTCTCAGTCTCTACTTCAACCACCTTCCCTTCTCTCCATAGAGCGTCTCTTCACCAGTTTATTTACTGACTCTTTACCCCAAAGAGCCCAGCGCCCCAGCCCTCCAGTTCATGGCACCTCCACCTGCAATGGCCTAACCAGGAAGAACAACTACCACATGAAAGGAGAGGGGTCCCAGAAGGAGGAGAAGAAGGAGGACAGCCTAACTTGCTGTCAGCGCTCAAAGACTTAAACCAAAGAGGGCAGACTTGGGGGACAAGTAGGGATCTGCACAGTACGTGGGCGCTATGCCAGACCTGGAGGCAGGGGAGGAGTTCAGAACTCATGTGGCTGGAGAAGAAGATGTTTCTGGAACACCCCCTCCACCTCTCTGGATTACATATGGTACAAGCCCCACTTTTTTTGCTGCTCCATCCTCCCCAGAACAATGCCCTGGCCCCACCATTTTTGGGCACCTGGGACTAGATTTTTTCCCCTCTGTTTGCAGTCTCCTCTTTTAAAGAACTATTTATTTATTTTTATTAATTATTATTATTATTTGTATGCTTGTGAGAGAGAGAAAGCCACAGGCCTGGGACTCAAACCGTAATCAACCATATGGGAGTCCAATGCCTTAACCACTATACTACCTGCCAGTCCCCTGCCTACCCTTAATTGAGAACAATTTTTTTTTTCAGAGAGAGATTTTTGCTATAGGGTGCATACACTTGCCAGAGAGACAGAAAGCGAGAACTCACCCCTGGGGTGGGGTGGGGAGGTCGCCACGCTGCATTCCCTTTTCTTTCATTCTCCTCTTGGGATCTTGGGCATGCACGCATGCACGCATGCACACACACCCGGCATGAGTTTTAAGCCACTGGACCCAGGACTTGAACCCCCGGTCAACTTCATGGGAGTCCAGCGACATAATATCCATTATGCCATTTGCTGGTCCCAACTGAGAAAAATTTCACACTTGATCACAGAGCCAGCTGATTGGCCTCCCATACTCTTCTACTTCCCAGCCTGGCTCCTCCCACTGCCCAGTTACATGCAGACCACAGCCTCAGATGTACCAGATGCAGCCTCAGTTGCCCACACAAAGCACCCCGCTACTAGTTGAGTACTTCAGGAGGTAGTTTTAGCCCCCCCCCCCCCCCCATTTTAGACTTACTCCTTCCCCATCTGATTTAAGCAGAACTGTCATTAGCAAACTCTTCCATTTAGTCCACATCCAATCCCCCCTCCCCACCACTACCTTTCACCACTACTCATCACTGCTCCATTAGAATAAAACCCATCCCCTGCCTACCTTCCTAACTGAGATGCCAATTTTCATTATCCTCTATCCCGCAAATGCCCTTTTGTTTCCATTTTCCCTCATCCCCCAAGATCCCTGAGACTCACACAAAGAGGCCATCTCCTTGGGGAGGTCAGGCTGGCCCAGGCCCCGGAAACTAGAGCTCAGCATCTCGAAAGGTGGAGACCCTCTGAGTGCCCCTGGGAAGGCAAAGGGGAAGCCTGCCCCTGGGTAGCCAGATCCAGGCCCCAGGGCACCAGCTGCAAAGAGTCGCTCCTTATTGGTGGCCATGGCAGCTGCGATGTGGGAGTCCCTTGAAGTCTGCAGTGGGCGGGGGAGGTCTTCAGCCACAGCCCCCGCCCATGCCCTCTGTCCGGGCCTGGGAGGCTCCGTGCCCGCCCCGCCTGGCCTGCCTGCTGGGTCTTCAAGAGTCCTAAGGAGAAAGAGAAGAGAAGGAGAGATGAGAGAATGATCACTGTGAGGTTCCCAGCCCCACGACCCTCTCCATTAGGATCTTCTCCCACTGTGCTTCTGGGATTTATACTGGCCTGGTTCAGGGCCCTTGTAGTGTTGGAGAGAGAGCAGGGGGTATGCAGGCTCTGAGACACTCTCCAGATTAGCTCCAGGGAAGGGTAAACTGAGGTTTCAAGGTGAACAACCTCAGCTGTTGTTCTGAGGACTTCAGGCGGGAAGGACCCCTGGACAGAGAGGTGCTCATGCAGCACCGCAAAAAACCTAGATGTTTGACTGATTCCCATTTCATGATGAGGGAACCAGGGATAAGGGACTGGCTCAAAATCACATGATTTTAAGTAGGGAGCCAAGATTCCAACTCTCTGCCACCCAGGAGAAAGCAAGCATACCTTTGTTGTAAACGTCGGGGCCTAGGCCTCTCGGAGAGGAGTATGTGCTATGGTTGGGAGCATGGAACTAGAACCCAAGATACCTGGATTGATATCCCCACCACTTGCTAGCTGTGAATTTTGGCCAGGTTACTTCATCTCTGTGCCTCAGTTTCCTCATAGGTTATTTGGGGCCAATAAGGCCCACCTCACTAAGGTTACCGTGAGTATTAAGTGATTTAACATACGGGGGCTGGCAGGTGGCGTGGTGGTGGTTAAGGGCGCTGGACTTCCACATAGCCGACTGGTTCGAGTCCTGGACCTGGCAGCTTGCTGTCTCACTTCTTCTCTCTCACTCTGTCCCTCTCTGGTCAAATTAAAATAAATAACGTTAAATAAAATAATTCTTTGAAAAAATAATAATTTAACATATGGAAAGTGTTCAGGATAATGCAGGGTATATACTAAATGCTATGCAAATTCTCATATTGGTTCACATTGTACCTTATCTTCCTTCATACATACTTCTTTTTAAAAAAAAATATTTATTTTATTTTTTATTTATTCATTCATTTATTTTTTAATTTGATCAGAGAGAGACAGAGGGTGAGAGGGAGAGAAAGAAAGTGAGAAAGCAAGCCACCAGATTCAGGACTTGAACCCCAGTTGGCCATGTGGGAGTGTCCATCGCCTTAACCACCATGCCACCTGCTGATCCCCATACTTCTTTTTATTTTACTGTTTTAAAGTTTTTAGTTACAGGGCACATGTACTCGCAGCAGAAAGGCAGAGAGAAAGGGAAAGTGAGAAATCACTCTCCAAGGGGATGGCCATGCCAGAATCCCTTCCCCTCCATCTCTGAATTTTGGGCACACATGCACTCTTGCCTGGCGTGTTTTTTAAGCCACCAGGTCCAGGACCTGGACCATGTAGTTGGCCACATGGAATCCAGCACCCTAACCACCATGCCACCTGCTGGCCCCTATACCTCTTTTTCAGTTAGCATTCCTTCTCTGTCTTCCTCATCATTTCCTTTTCCAGGTTCCCCACCTGACTCTTTGTCTGCAATTGTCCCTCACTCCCTAGCCTCTCATGCACCCTTTCCTTCCAAACCATTGACACTGTTCATGGGACCCCCCGCTAAGTACCCATGGACTCTTTCTTGTCCTTATCTATTTTTCCATCTCCTTTTATTTATGTATTTATTTTTTGAGAGGTTTTCACTATAGGGCGCGTGCGCTCACCAGATAGACAGAGAGAGACATAGAGACAGAAAGCGAGAAATCACCCCCCAGGGGGGATGGTCACGCCGCAATCCCTTCTCCTCCATTCTCCTCTTGGGATCTTGGGCACACACGCACGCTCACGCGTCCGGCATGAGTTTTAAGCCACCAGGTCCGGACACCACGATCGAACCACGATCAACTATGTGGGAGTCCAGCGACATAGCCATTACGCTAACTGCTGGTTCCCCTCCCCTGAGATTCTTAACCTGAGTCCTGGGGAGTAAGAGGGGAAGGAGGAAGAGAGAGGAAAAGGGAATCTTAGGGCTGAACATGAACAGATGGTTCCTCTTCTGGTTCTCTGGCGAGGGAAAGGTTGGCTTTCCCATGAGCCCCCAAACCACCCAGCTCGCTACGGAGTTAGTGGGCCAGAAAGGGAGAGTTGTCCTAGCCTGGGTACCTCCACCAGTCGGACCATAGAGACCACAGGATGGGCAGGCCCAGAGGTAGACAGGTGATGGGTATTTCTGCATCTCTTCCCATCAGTATTTCCCTTCAGGGTCAATATCTGTCCTTGTACTCTGCTTCCCCACCTTGGCCCCATCTCTCATCTACCTTGGCCATCAAGCCCCTGAGCATAAATTGTCATGGAGATTACAGAACTCAAACCCCAAAGGCCACCATCATTCATTCAACCCCAATGTGTGAAACAGTTCCTGCCCCTAACCAGGCATCCCCCATAGCACCCTCAAACTCTTTGGCCAGTATCTCCCCAGGCCCTGAAAGTCTAAGCTCCAAGCTGCAGGGTCCCTATCATTTTCTTCCCCCTATTCCCTGAGTTTCCATCCCTGGGTAAACCCAGGTGGAGCCAGGAGTCCGGGGGCCCCTAAGGCCCCTGGGCCACAGCTCAACAGGCTGGGCCACATTCCAGGTGGATTAACCCCTCCAATGCCAAGGGTGAGAAGCTACTAAAGGTCCCCCCCCCATCTTTCCCAGCCTTGGCTTAGACTGGGAACAGGGCTCTCTGCTTCCATCCTGTAACCTTTGCTTCTCACCTGCAAATGGGAAATGGGGCTGAGGGTAGGGCAGGAGGATTCAGCAAGAGGGCTGGGGGCCATCCCAGAAAGAGATGCTCAGACTCCTGGTCCTCACCAGGGAATGAGTAAATGAGTGGAGAACAACCTGGCTCTCCCTGGCCTTATTCCGTTTTGCCTTAGAAAAGGGACTTGGGAGTTCAGTGAAGACAGGAAGGGGGCAGATTCTCCCATTTCGGGAGTCTTGGGTGTGGATTCTCTGCTTGGGCTGGAAAGGGAGGGTCTTCGATCAGAGTAGAAGAGACCAAGGAATTGAAGACAGTGTGGAGTAAAAGGAAACCCCAAACTGGGGTCCTAGATGCCTTCCTTCTCTGGGGGGGGGGTTGAGGAGGGAGGGAACACTTCTCTTCCCCCAAGATGCCACCTCAGATGGTGGGGGCAGGGTGTGAGTGGGGGAGGGGGTGGCAACTGACTAGGGGAAAGGGGCTCTTACAAAGCTGCTTCTCTTAGAGCTGAGGTGGAGTTGAGGGGAGGGCATGGATGAAGGGGGCTGCCGGATGGAAGGGGGGTGTCTCCCTGCTGCCCTGCCCGCTCCAGAGCCTGGAACAAAGCTGCTCTTGTCGGCTGCTCTCCACCGCTGCCCCCCTCCCCTCTGTATAAACACGACCACCTTTTTCCATGACCCCATCTCTAGCCTGGGTGGAGAACCCAGGCATCCCCTGCTCTAGCCTGGGCCCCCAGCCTGCTCCCCAGGAGGCAGCAGTGGGCAGGGTTTCTCTGGCTTTGTGCCACCCTTGGGGGAGTCCAGACCCTTGAGTCTCCACCTCTCATCCCTAGGTGCCCTCCCTCTACCCCACTGGCCCCAGGGAGGGGCAGTGCCCAGGAGGCAGGCAGGCAATGCCAGTGGAATGTGTGTGGGCATCGGAGGGCACGGGCAGGGTGGGGCAGAGGGGGGAACTGGAGGTGCCAGTTAGGTGGCTTTCCGAGCCAGGGGTGGGGGTGTGCCGGGATGGGGGGGCGTGCCCTGTACTGCTTACCAAGCTCTAAGCTACAGTGTGTGTGTGTGCGTGTGTGTGTGTGTGTGTGTGTGTGTGTGTGTGTGTGTG